GAAAGCAATTTGCATGGCACTCTAATTGTCACGATAAAGATTAGTAGCGAGCAATTGAGGAACACCCATATTTTCTAGTAGCTAACGTAAATTAAGTAACTCTAATGTGGTGTCTTCAAGTGCTCGATATTCAGCCTTTGTGCTAGAACATGATGGAACTGTCTGTTTCTTACTACGTCAAGAGATTAAAAAATTACCAAGAAAAAGACAATATCCAATGGTGGACTTACGATCATTAAAGTCTCCAACCCAATTAGCGTCAGAGTAAGCACAAAGCTCAAGAGACAAATAAGAAAAAAAGTGAAGTCCATGAAAAATGGTACCTTTAATATAGCGAATAATGCAAAGTAATGCTACATGGTGAGTGGACCAAGGCATAGCCATAAATTGGCTAACAACATGAATTGCATAAGTTATGTCTAGTCGTGTTGCAGTGAGATAAATTAAACTTCCAACCAACTGTTTGTAGCGAGTAGGATCAGCTAATGGAGAACCATACATAAGTGTAAGTCAACAATTGGCTCAAAAGGAGTAGACGCAGTCTTATTGTCAATGAGTCCAACTTTAGATATAAGATTAGAAGCATATTTTGTTTGGGAGAAAAGATAACCATCATCAAAAGAGGTGACTTCAAGTCTCGAGAAATAAGTCAAAACACCAAGATCTTTCATCTCAAACTTATGACTGAGAAATTGCCTAAGATCATGAATACCTAAAATATCATCAATATAAAGAAGCAGTTACCATGATTAGTCTTGCATATGAACAATGCAATAACATGAGGACTAGAAGTAAAACCAAATTCATTAATGGTGGTACTAAACTTGGCAAAACCATGCTCGAGGTGCTTGCTTTAAACCATATAAAACTCACTTCAATCAACAAACTTTGTTTGAAGGATGCTCAAGTCTAGGAGATGGTTTTATGTAAACTTCCTCTGCCAGATCACCATTTACAAAGGCATTTTTCACATCCATCTGAAATAACTTCCATCCTTTTGCAACAGTAATAACAATCAAACTATGAACTGAAGTAGGATGAGCAACAAGTGCAAAGGTTTCCTCATAATCAATCTCGTATTCTTGAGTAAATCCTTTAGCAACCAAACGAGCCTTATAACGCTCCATGGAACCATTAGACCGAGTTTTGATCTTGTACACCCATTTACAACCTTCCAAAGGCTTACCAACAAGAAGACCAACTAAATCCCATGTACAAGTTTTCTCAAGAGCTTGTAATTCATCTTGCATAGCTTACTATCAAAAAAGGTTAGAAGAGGCCTCTTGATAAGATTGAGGCTCATGTAAGGAGACAATAACAAGAAAGCAATGATAATCATGAAGATAGCTAAGAGGATTTCTTACCAGAATAGGACGACTTGAAGGTGGATTAGGGATCTCATTTTCAAGCTCAATATCAACAGGGTTAGATCCAACAAGTGATATAAAAGAGGTAAAGGAAAAAGAATCAGCATTGTCTAATGCATTACCAGCAGGTAGACTATCTTCTATAGAACTAGGTGGAGCATGTGGAGAGGTATCATAGAGCTCATCAAATGTATCTGCATCAAAGTCACTAGGAAATAGCTCAATAGAAGGCTTAATAAAAAGTGGAGGTTGATCAAAAGATGACACCTAGAAGTTTATAACGAGGAAAACATAGTGTGCTCCCAAAAGACAACATGACGTGAGACTCAAAGTTTTTGTGACACAAGATCCCAACAACAATATCCTTTATGTGTAATCCCATAACCCAAAAAACAACATAATCGAGCTTTAAGCTCTAGCTTGTTATGTTCATGAGGTGGAAGAAAAACAAAACAAGCACCACCAAAAACTTTAAAAAGATCATAGGCAGGAGAAATACCATGCAAATCATTCATATGGAGACTTATTATTGATGACTGATGATGGAATCTAATTAATGAGATAAACAGCTATAAGAGCAGCTTCACCCCAAAATCGCTCAAGACAAGAAGACAAAATGAGTAGAGCACGAACAGAATCAAGGATGTGTCTATGTTTGCGTTCGACTCGCCCATTTTGTTCAAAAGTGTAAAGACAAGATTGTTATATTAGTGTACACTATTTTTTGAGAAAGAATCAAAGTTTAGTACTAATATATTCAGTGGAATTATTAGTTCTCAAAACTTTGATAATGTTAGAAAACTGGGTTTTAACCATGATAGCAAAATCAATATAAAGTTGTGGTAACTTAAAGCGATTTTTCATATCTAGGTAAAACACGTATGATCATCAATAGATAATACAACGTACAAGGAACCCCTCATGGTAGGTGTCAAAGATGGACTCCAAACATCAAAATGCACGAGATCAAAAGAAGCAACAGAAAGAGAATAACTATTAAAAAAGATAAAGCTGGTTGTTTTGCAAATTGACATGATACACAATGCAAGGATTCATTTGGAATAGATCTTAGTAAACCACAAGAGGTAAGAGGACGGAGTTTATCGACTAAGATGTGTCCGAGCCATGAGTGCCACAAATGAAGAAGAGAAATGTTAGTAACAACATAAGCTTGAAAGATTTGTTGATATGGAATTTGTAAAGACTCTAATTTCATAGCACAAAGCAGGGTTTGGATGAATTGATCATTTGGAAATGATGGTGTATCCATTTTATGATCAAGAATGTGTAGATAGTTGAGCTCAAACATACGCCACACCTTGCAACTAGTTTCAAGAAGTTGTCTTGTCTATAGGTCTTGCATCACAACAACTATGAGTAGAAAATGTTGCTTCAAGACCAAGATCACATAATTGACCAACAAATAAAAGATTATAACTAAGTTTTGGAACCAAAAGCACATTTGGTAAAGTCAAAGAATTTATAGAAATATTGCCAATTTGACTAACATTTATAGGAGAGCCATCAATAAAACAAACATCAAGAAAGGAATTAGTTGGTGACATTAAAGAGAAATAAGTAATAGCTGAAAATATGTGATTACAACAATCAGAATCAAAATACCGAGGTTTAGTACCAAAAGTAGTAGATAAGGCAGTAGGAGCATTAAAAAGATTTAATATGACCTATTTTAGAGATTCAAGGTTGATAATAGGTTGATCTATCTCTTCTTTGG